GATTTGATAGCACAGCATCCCAATTCATTGTTCATGTCTTCAAAAACAATGGTCACAGAACAACACAAAAGTAGGCAACCAGATGTTTTCTTCGGTTTTCGAACCAGCCTTTATTGCGCTCAACTTCTAGATGCAGTATTGTATTCTTACAATATAGCATATGCTAAAATAACATGGAACCGTGACCTATTTAATGGTAGCAAAGTCTGTAGGAGCAAAGGGGCAATTTCTTTGCATAACGAAAATTCAATAAAACGACATGAATCAGAATCATCCCGCATTCCTTCTTCCCTTATGGCGAAAAACGTCCATCCTAATCCCCAAAGAAGGCATTGGCATTAGATCGAAAGGAATCTGCAGATGAAACTAGATCGATAACGCTCCAAAATGGACAGAAACATCATTCATACTAGTAGACTCACATGAGACCGAGGAAGAGAGCAAAACTGCATCTGCATAATGCCGCCCACCCACTGAACAGATGTTCAGGTTTAAGTTATGGCTTTCTTGTACAGTAGCTTCTTGGTCTATTTCACCGATCCAAAACAGTATGGATCTGCAAAAACGCCAGTGCAACCATCAATAACATCGACTATACGGCTGACAGTCGTACCACTAGTCATAAGGTCGCGAATTTTAAAGCGTGTCTTAAATTAAATTAAATAACTAATTTAAATAAATTTAACGCGTAAAACAAATACCTTCCCTAATTCTTCGAATACTTGGATTACGCCATGACCCGGCATTTATCGCTGTCACGAACAAATATGAACTGGAGCAGGGCCAGTTACAAAAAATGAAGAGAAAAACCATTTTTAGGCTACTACGATGTTTGTCCTTAGCTAAAAGACGCCTACACTACTGACGGTGTCCGCAATAAAGAAGCCACTCATCTCCGTTGGCGACTGTAAATCACTCCAGAGTTTCAAATAACTGAGTGCATATTTAGCTCTTCATTTCTCAATACATGGTCGAGGGTAACTATTTATGAGGACGATTTAAAGTCCATTTATGGACGCATTTCGATGCCCTCAATTAGCGTTGTTATGAATGCTGTAATACGCGCATATAAGTGCATTTTTTACTTGTCAACCATCTTAATCCATAAGTAAAAAAGGATGAGGTTATTCGAGTAAACTGATTTAGCCGTCGAGTTCAAAACTGACCGATGATCACTAAGAAGACCGTCAATGTGCGAACGTTTTGCATAGATAAATAAAACAGTTCACATCGTGAACATCAACAAGCACACTATTGCTAATTATAACATGGTCACTGCAAACTGAACTATAGGTGGAGACATAGCAAAGAGTGACATCTTTTTCAAATCTCTATATGCTGAGAAATAGCTACTGAAATAACATGTATTAAACCGCAGGGATGCCAGTTTCCTTACACCTTTGTGACTGAACAACATTTGTTACCCCTTCTTTTCATGAACCTAATGCCATGGCGATAATCTCTGCTTCCATGTCATCGCCAGCAGTATCTTTATTGTTCGTTTCTCTAAGGCCATATCCACGATTTGGTGATGATCATAGTGTGTAATTCTGTTCCATCCCGCGAACTGGTACTCACTTGTCAACCTTAAAGGGAAAAGGTCAAGTGCCCCAAAATCGCTCTGAACCGAGACCACCGAGGTACTGGGGTCGATGCTTCATCGACGAAGAACCGAGGTCTCAGTGCGTTGACACAATCAATCACTTGTATTATTTCTCAAACAGCGTGTAAATCAAGTGAATCTGTCCTACGCTTCCATTCTTCGAACTTGTGCGTCCGTAAGACAGCGGATGCAGCATTCATTCAAAGCACGATGCAACGACATTCGTCTTTCACGAATTTTTCCTGCGCAGTAGCCACAATTGCTGATTCGAGCTTCACGAATCACTGCACTGTCATTAACCAACCTTTGGTCCGATTTTTAAGTGAATCCATGTATAGCAACAACTATTCCAGACTTGGCGTTATCAAACCTATTGTTAGAAATGTTTTTGACAGCTAGTTCGCTTAATTTGTGCATAATTTGCCTTTTTATATTGTAGTAATTTGCTCTCTTGTCTAAAATTTGCTCCCTGAAAATGGGTTGAGTTGATGTTCTACGGGTCAGAACTTCCACGTATAACCAATTCATTACGCTACGCTGTGTCATCCCGTAAAGGATTCCTAACCATG